GGCAGCAGTTATGCTGCTACAAATACCCAATTCACTATTTAAATGGTCAGATTATTAACTATTATTATTAAAGGATTTTACGGTTTCGTTACGAAATTATTCTGTCGGAATTTGTAATCGGTAGACCAACCATTCACGACGTTTATATAATAATCTAACAGTTATAAATCCCGATAGAATGGTTCCGTAAATAATTTCCCATTATTATTATTCCCTTTCTTGTTCTATATTACTCTATCTAACCTTGCACTCTTTTTTTTTAGTAGTCAAAAACATTTAAAAATTTCACAAGAAGCCACGTCAAATGTTCATAATTTTTTTTATTTTGTTCTTTAAGTTTCGTTATTATCTTTCTCTTGCACGCAATAAGATTTGAGTTGTGTCACTAGATTTTACACAAATTCAAAATTGACCAATTTCATGTAAAAAAAATAAAAAATGTAATTCAATAATCACATAATTCACCGCCAATAATCTCTACACAAATACGGTTAACTGACACAGTCTGAACAATGGTTTGACCAACGAAAGTGCAAAGAAAATTGGCCGGCGGCTTATCTCATTGCCCACGTAATTTCAGTGTCCATTTATAAAGCATTTGCAATTTTGCATCGTGTTGACCTTTTTAACAGCAAATCAAATTATTCCATGGTAGATATTCTTTACGGATCAATTCTGTCAGAATTTGTAACCGTTAGATCATAATACAATTGTCGTGGATAATTAATCTAACAATTACAAATTCTGACGGAAGAATTCCGTAACGAGACTACGCAAAGTTAAATTTATTTGTGCAATTCACTTTTGAGATCATTTGGAAAAGGCCAAGTGAACTACTTTGTGATTTGTTATATGATATGAATTTGTCAATGATAATGTCGAGGAAAATAAAATTAAAAAATCAGAGTTTATAAGAAAAAGACATTTGATTTTCATTATTGAGCGGCTAATAAAGGTTTGAAATTTTGAGTAAAGAACCCGCCGAGCCCACCTAAAAGAGGGACTCCTTGAAAAATGTGTACTTACACAAGATTTTCTTTACGAAATTGGATATTAATTTCGTTTTTTTTTTTTTTTAGTTTCATTGGTTAAATATTCCAATAGAATTTAAAGATCAAATGGATATTATGTTGGAAAATTTCATGGACTCTTTGAAATTAGATTTAGTTGAAATTTTGGCTGGATTTTGTCATTTTGATATATAATTGCCAAATGTGATTTTGAAATTAGTTTTTAATTGTAATTATTTCCGTTGGTTTAGTTGTTTTAATGGTTTCGACGATCATTCCAACCGTTAAAATTATTGGCCAGAAAAATAAAATCCAACGAAAAAAGTGTGTATTTAACGAACATTCCTTCTAATATATAGTTGGAAAAAAAATAAATATAGTTCGCTACAAAATAATTGTTATATTCTAACGAAAAATCCTATAGTAATATATTCAAATGGGAATTTCAACATATATTCATGTTGTTATGCAAAATTTAACAACTATACTCACTGGGACTAAACGAATAAAAGACCGTAAATTAGCTGAATTTTTATTATTAGGAAGTCGGATTCTGATATAAGAAGTCGGTTATATTTGGAATTGAAAAGTTTTATGTGTGAATTTAATGTGTTGAAAAAAAAAAAAACAGTCCTCGTACAGGAATAAATGATGTTATTTATAATAATCATAGAGTCGTTCTTTGAGATTTATACGACGACATTAAATGCGATTTAATGGTCTAAGGATGGCTAGCCTGCAGGCGGTCCCACTAGTAATGATGAAGGTATGGACGACTGGTTGGCAAACATCCCATCTGTCTTTTATCTTGTAATGATCTCGGTTATTCAAGGAAGTCGGTCCTTGTGCCCTTGAAGAAGTCGGTCATCCTCCTTCCAGGATACGCCGAGTTATACCAAGTCGGCCTTTCTCCTAATCTTTGATACTCAATCGGATCCCATGAAAGATCTTCCACGTGGCGTCTTTTGATTGAGGCATGTCAGGTCGGTTATCAACAATTTCAATGATATAGCTTTTGTTGGAATAATTCCAACGAAAATTTCAAAGGACTTATTCCATTGGGATTTTAGATAGAATTTGATGATCCCAACTGCTGTTTTTCTAATGATTTTTTTACCGTTGGAATATGCAATATCCGTTGAAATTTTTATTTTCACCCCTGTTGGAAAGTTTAATGTTGTGGCACAAATTATTATTTTTACCGAGCACCAAATCGAAAGATTCGTTCACTGGGTCGATTTCACGAAGAAGGCGGTTCATAATTTAGCTTTGGCATTGATAACACATAAAGAAAATAAATCTTACACATACTAATTAAATAGAGGATGAAATGAATTATCAACTAAGGAATAGTAAAAAGCAATAAACTACCTAAAAATATAAATGAAACAATAAAAAAGAAGCTAGGGAGTCGGGACAATTATTCAAGTTCTACTCGCACACCGGGACATTAATCATTCTATTTTAGATTGACGTTCTCACTTTAACATCTAGCGGTTCGCTCCCAATAACTCTTCGTACCAATGGATTGAACATAGACGAACAAACTCGAACATACGACACATGCCAATTATCTCATTCCCAATAACTTTTCCTAACAAGGGACGGGTCATCAACAAGCACATATTTCAATCCAAAACCTATAGACTATTCAATTACGAAATCATCTACCTCATGCGAGCCTAGGTCTACGACTTCTCCGCTTCAACTAGTCATATAGAATTGACAGACCCTAACTCGACAAAGAAATATTCAATGTTTCCAATTGCAAGATCGAAATGTCACTCTTCAATTATATCCATCAATCACGCAAGAATACATCAATCCCGAATTTATTCAACTCACATAAGCACGAACGAATCAAGCCCGACAAGTACATCAAAAAAATTCGGTTCTCCCGAAGCTTCGGCCCTACACACCAAAAAAAAAGAAAACCCGAAAAAACACACGGGAAAAACAAGGAAAACTAAAATAGAGAGAAACACGCAATAAACGACAAAACGGACTAAAAACTAACTAAAAGACCTAATATGGGGGGAAAAGAAGGATAAAAAGACAACAAAAAATGCAACAAAATTGGGACAAACATTTAGCGATGAACCGTCATCATCCAACGAAAATTCCAATAAAAAACTCATTCCAGCAGAATATTTTGTTGTAATTTCCGTTGGAATCCATAGGAAAATTCTAACAGAAATAATAACATTGAAATATTCATTGGAATTGTCTTTAGATTCCAATAGAATTTCCCTTTGAAATTTTATCATTTTTCTTTTCGTGGTTAGAATAATCAAATTCTAACTAGAATTTCAAGAAATATTTCATTCCAAGTGGTTCTTTTTTATTTCTTTTTCAGAAAGAGGTAATTCAATAAAAGAAAAAAACACATAATTACATACAAGATCAACTAAATAGCCGAATGAGTCAACAAACCAACACAAAATAAAGAAAATCTCCTACAAGGTGGAGAATACACTCCCAAAAAGAATGATAAGAACACAGAAACACACAAGAAATACAAGCAAAAAAGAAAAAAAAAATAAATAAATAAAACTAATAGGTAGACTAAAACCTCCCCACTAGCGGTCAAATGACTCCTAGAAGGCCCAAATGAACCAACACCAACGCAACCACCCAAGAAGAATTAGCCCCCCGACCCAAACACGACTCTAGAAACTCCCTACCAACTATCTAGAACCCGGACCAAAAGATCAAAACCTTCTCATAAGGCCACCTCTGATCCCGCACCCTAGCCCTCCCCCAGCACAACCAGCGACAACAGGCCTTCGACCGACGTTGAAGGTCGCACCCGCCGACGTCCACGACTAACCCAACACCAGGGTCAAAACAAGAGCCAGGGAGATAGGGCACAGACTAGCCAACAAGCGCCGACCGTCGTCACACGACCGTTGGCACCTGCCGCAACACCACAACCAAGCCGATGATACCATCCCGCCATGGCCAATCAGAGTCCGAGGTAGTCCATGCGAGAAGGAAACTGGTGGCCCACCAAGCAGAACGCGACTAGCTCTGGCTCTCCAGGTGGAGAGGCACACGACAACAGCTAGAGATTTGAATTTCTGATTTGGAAATTTCTTTTGCTAGAGATAAAAAGTTTTTTCCTTCTACTTAGTTATTCGCTACAATTCCAAATTGCTTATCTCCGTGAAATATTCACCGAAATTTTACAACGGAAGTTATAATATTGAAATAATTGTAACATTTTATATAATAATAATCTATTCATTCTTTTTTTTTTTTGGGATTTCATTTTTTTTTTTTGTAATAGTGTATTGTAATAGTGTATTGAAATGCAAATTTTTAGACCAGTAATTAGACGCATATGGCTATGTTTGGTAAATTAAATAAGCTAACTTATAGCTTATTTGATTAACTTATAAGCTTCCTGTATTCAAATAAGCCTCGTTTGGTAGGACGAACTTATTTAAAAAGCTCGAACTTATTTGATAAGTTTGTTAAGGTAGCTTTTCAAATAAGCTAGTTGAATTTTTTATTTCAGCTAGCTTATCAGCTAATTTTACCAAACACTTTTATCATATAAGTTAGCTTTTCAGCTATAAGTCATAAGCTATAAGCTATAAGTTCGAAAATTACATATAAACTATAAGCTAGCTTATCAGCTATCAGGTAGCTTATCAACTAATTTTACCCAACATAGCCTATATCTATTAGCTTTGACAAAATATCACTTTAACATCACAAAACGTGTAACAATACCATATTACTTTTACTATATCATTGTAGAATATAATTTCACCTTTTAAGTCCCAATAATATTATAACACACATATCTATGAATTCATATTTGACTTGGCCATAACTAACCCTTAAAAGAGTCCTCTGTCTCTATACATACACAATTATATATAGAAATCTTCCTCCATTCCCCCTTTTGTTTTTCCTCTTCCTCCCTCTCTCTAGAAACAATAAATAAAAAAATAAAAAAAAAATCTAAAATTTATACAAAATATGGGTTCAAAAAATTTGATACTTTTGATATGGTTGATTATTATCGTGTTCTCAAATTTCGTGTGTTCAACAAATTGTAGAAAGTTGATAATCAAGAAAGAGGCACAAGATAACAGTAGTGTTCAACGGCGGCCGCCGCCGCCGGCCGACAGCTTGTACCTGGCGGCGCTTCCGAAGGGCAAGGTGCCGTCGTCCACACCAAGCAAAAAGGGCCACTCCACCACCACCGACCAGAAGCTCATCGCCCGCCACCTGGCAGACGTCGGCCGGATTTTTCGGTCATTTCGGAGCTCCGACGCAGGCCACTAGCGAAAATTCCTTTTTTTTTGGGGGGGGCTTCTTTTATTTATTTATTTTTACTTTTTAAAATAACAATTTTGAATTCTTTTGTTAGTCATAGATTTGTCAATAGTGGTTAGATGTGTACACATGTAAGTGTAGAAAATAGTATAGAATGATAGGTTTTTTTTTTAAAAAAAAAAAAAAAAAACAAATGCTTTGTTGATATGATATTATAATTTTTAATGGTTTCATTATTGGAATTAGAGGTGTAGAGGAGAGCTCAAACTCCTCGATGGCTCGAGCTTGAGCTTTTATTGAGTCGAGTTGAGCTGGTCATTATCTATACAAGTCTGATCTAGCCTCATTTATCGACGATGAATGAGTTCGGGTCTTAACTAGTCATACTCAAGATTCAATGAATCGAGCCATACAAAATATATAAAAATCTATATTTCTAAGTTTTGACGAATTAAGCCGGGCAGAGGTCATGATATGATATGTTCGTTTTATTTAATAGCTCTAATATGAATACAAATGATCAAAGCCTAGCATGTTGTTTGAGCAGTTCATTATTTTGAATAATAATTTAATTATTATATATATATATTGCGGATTATTTATATAATTAGATAACAATTAAAGAGATCAATAAACATAAATAGCAAGAGCTCCTTAAGTTGCATTAACTAATTGGTGAGTGATTTCTGTTTAAATTTATTAATGACAACATGTGTTAAATTGGCGGTTTTATTTTTTTCTACATTTTTCTTAAAAAAGGAAAATATTTTCTTTTTAAGTTTTATAGTACTTAGCAATTACTATTATTATTAAATTAAATTATACCAACAGGGTTGACTCAAGTGGTAAGCTGCTTGATGTCGCTTAAGCAAAGCCTCGGGTTCGAGTCCTTGTGGATGCAGAAAAATCCTTGTTGGGAGACTCACCCATCACTGCCAGATGTGCAACCCGGGTCGACCAACAGATTAATCGGGACATAACTCCAAAACCGTGGCTGGCTACCAAAAAAAATTAAATTATTAAAAAGTCGAGGAAGAAAAAGCAATTGTGAATAGACGCGTTGTTTAGACTTTATATTTTTATTATTTTCCACACATCTTTATAGTGTTTGTTGAGTGGTCTTAATACAAACTTTTAAAGTATTTTAGTGCAAGTCGAGGTCCACAACAGCCATGTGATTTTAAACAACTTTCTTGTACAAAATGCTTCCAGAATTTATGTCCGATTTTGATGGAGTCAAAATATTTTCTACTATTCCCAAGTGATGAAGTACGAACACAAATAAATTTCCTTATCTAATCAAGTCAATTTGGTAAAAATACACCAATTTTTACCTGAGTTAGGTCTAACATTTATCATGTCGATTAATCAATTTTTTTAATATATATATATATATATATATATATATATATATATTGTGAGAATGTGTGAAAAATATGTGTTGTATATTCACAAAGACATGTACACATATATATAGATAAATAGATGAGTCTTAACTTTAGGTTGAGCCTAAATCTAACCTACAATACAAGAATACACTTTACATAACTAATACCTCATTCAAACTCAATATGGTATAGTGGGGATCAACTTGAGTTTGCTAAAAAGTAAACAGATGCGACTGTGAAGGATAGACTTTGTGAAGACATCCGCTGTTTGATCCGTAAAAGAGACTGAAATAAGTTGCAGAGTCTCATGGGCAACATGTTGTCGAATGAAGTGACAGTCAATCTCAATATGATTGGTACACTCACGAAAGGTATCATTATGAGATATCTTGATAGCACTTCGACTATCACAATGTGGAGCAGTAGACAACGTATGAATGAATGAGGTGCACCGAGATCAGCAAGGAGCCAACGCAACCATAATAGCTCTGATGTGGAATCAGCAAGAGCACGATACTCAAACTCAGACTCGATCTGAAAAGTAATGTTTACTTACTGCGCCAGGAGACAGGTGAATCACTTAGAAAGAAGCAGTACCCAGTATTGGAACGGCGATTTGTAGAATCTCCCGCCCAATCTACATCAGAATAGCCACTAAGTGTCGAAGAAGAACGGGTCGAGAAGTGTAAACCATGCAATAAAGTGCCTTCACATTGCGAAAGATGTGCAACACACCAGAATAATGCGTGGTTCTCGGAGCAGTCATAAACTGACTCACAATGTGAACAACATGAGCTATATTAGGCCGAGTGACACTGAAATAGATCAAACTCCCAACGAGCCGACGATATAATGTAGGAGCCTCAAGAAGTGAGCCATCAGGTGGAATAAGACAAACGTCATAATCAAGAGGTGTGGAAGTTGTTGGACAATCAGTGAGATCGACCCTGATAAGAAGATCAGAGGCATACTTGACTTGAGACAAATAGAAGTCATCAGAGGAATAAGAGATCTCATGACTCGAATAATAGCGAAGCTAGTCTAAACTTTTCATCTCAAAATGCTAACGAAGATAATCCTGTAAATAGGAAATACCGACAACATCATCTCCCGTGATAATCATATCGTCAACATAGAGCAACAAAATAATGATCCCAGATGAAGAGCGCTGAAGAAACAAAGCAGCATCGTGATCACTTGTAGTGAAACCAAATTGAAATGATGCATAACTGAACGTTGTATACCAGACACGAGATGCTTGTTTCATAACATACAAAGCTCGACGTAGACGAAAAACCTTCCCAGAGGACAACGTCCCCGGAGGATAAGTCATGTAAACCTCCTCAGATAAGGCGTAGTGCAAGAAGACATTCTTGACATCTAACTGTAGAAGAGACCAACGACAAACAACATCAAATGCAAGTAAACGCCGGACAGTAGTAAGACGAGAAACCAGTGCAAAAGTCTCTTCATAATTGATGTCATACTCCTATGAGTACCTCTTATCAACCAGACGAGCTTTGTAGCGCTTAATAGATCCATCTGAATTTGTCTTGATCTTATAAACCCATTTGCATCCGATAGATGTCTTCCCAGCAGGTAGATCCGCCAAATTTCAAGTACGAGCCTTTACCAACACCTGTAATTCCTCAGCCATAGCTTGTTTCCACAATGGATTAACAGTCGCCTCACAAAAAGACCTAGACTTATGATGATATAGCATGACCGAATAACAACGATAGTCAAGTAGGTGACAAAAAGGACGACTTACATGAGTTGACCGTCGGTGATCAGTGATAGGTGAAGAGACATGAGTGGACTCAACATGAAGCGTCAGTATAGGATGCACAAGCACTTCAGAAGACAGGGGCATGACAGAAATGTCAATGAGCTGTGAGTTAGGAGAAGTATCTGGAAAGGGATCTGAAGTAATGAAGAAAGACGATGTCAAATCAAACGTAATGTGAAATTTAGACAATGAAGAAAAAATAGTAAGATCCCAAAAGGTATCATGACACGAAATATACAACTTGTTGATAAACGGATTTGATCAACTTTTAATATTCGTATTTTTAGATTAATACCGTAGTGAGACGATTTTATTAAATAACTGGGATTTATCTAAGAAAATATCAAGTCGGTATTCCGAGGACTTGAGGTCGGTTTTTCTCGTACAATAATGCTAAAGTTGGCGATAGCCGAGGTGATTAATGCAGAATTTATGTGTCGGGAAAAAGATCCTCGTATTGCCTTTATTGCTGCTATCTATAGTAACTGGGGGCTCATCTTTTGAGGAGATTCGGCGGCATTTAATGAGGAATGACATCTGCGCAGCTTTTTCTGTCTGTGGGGCCCCCTCGCGCAATGATGTCTCCACATGGGCTCTGAACAGTCGATGGTACTTGCATTAAATGCTGCCTGTCTGCTCCGACGTCGGCCTGCGCCCGAGGTTGCTTCATTCAGGAGGTCGGTTTCCAAACAAGGTCGGCTTCCCAATGAGGTCGGTCACCACAGGTCGGGCAACGTTTTCTCGGCACTTTTCGGCTTGCCCCCTTTACTTTCTCGTCGTCCACGTGTCGACCATCCAACGCTTAAGCAGATTTTTAGGTCAACATTAAGGCCCCTGACATTGAGGGGGGCTAATACTTAAGCCCGCCTTAATGTCATCCATGGTATATATCTGCACCTCCTCTGTCTGAATCTCAACCGACCTGTTATACTTAGCCAAAAAACGCGACTCTTCCCGTCTGGCGGTTCATGGATTTTCCAATATGGCGCGTGACGACACGACTCGACGCGCTTGCTTTCTTCTGACTTTAAGCGGTTTCAACCCTTCTTTGCACGTTCCCACGATCTCTGACAGTCTTCACACGTGGCAGTCCCGTATTGGTCTGCGTGTTTCCGTTGAGACAAGACAGAGCGTCCCTATCCTTTAAGGTGGCGGTTCGCGAATCGCCGGTTATCCTTGTAACGGTTACATCTTTTGAGTATAAATACTTCTCTTTTTCCCTTTCCTTGAATCACACAGCCTTCTCTCTGCCTGACCCTCCGCTTTCGATCTCACCTTTTCCTTTACTCTCACGGTTATCGTTCCCGGCGTCCCTGTCCCCGCCGTGTACTTTCGGTAAGTCTTTTCGTCTTCTTTCCCTTCCATCCTTCAATTAGTTAGCACGTTTTCCTCTTTATTTTCGCTTTGAATTTATCGACCGCCGGGAAGAATGGCGGAGCGAGCGGCAGAAAGTAGTAGCCGGACGATCTCCGACGAGGTGGGTCGTGAGGTCGTCTCTGACGAGGAGGAAAACCTAGAGTTGGCGCTGGGTTATTACCGTTGGGATCCG